AAGTCAAGAAGGATTTCCTGCAAACTACCTACAATCACATAACATCAAAACTTGTAATACCACCTAAATGGTTAACTAAAGTACAAAATTTATTGAGATATTGTGTCCCAATAATCATTACACAGCCAATCAGTTAGGCCTTACTAACAAATTCCAATAAACAGGAAATTTAAATAGATGACTGCCGTTCCTAACCGTCTAAAATCATTAATCAGTTAGTATTTCGTTCAATAAATATTTTTCTAGCCAATTAATATTAAATATCAATGGGACAAAAGATTGAAATCACTAAAATTAATCAAACCAATAATATTATCTAAATTTCACAAGGGATAAGATAAGTGCTTGGCTGACGTGATTTTACTTCATGGGATTACCAAATATGTTCATTTTTATCAAATTCATGTCAATTGTTTGATAAACATTGTGATTTCAATAAAATTTCCACGACATACTACTTAGGGGCTGCTTTTAATTTCTACCATACTGTAATACAACTCATTTAGACCAATGTATGGGACGAAATGGCAGTCCAGTGCTTCCAGGTTTTCTATGGTGGTCTAGCTTCAATTGACTCATGATCTAAACTGTTGAGATTGTAAATTTTTAGTTTATTGGATAGATCAAACACCTCAAAGATCAAATGTCATTTCATCAACTATTCTACTGTGAACATATTTGACAAAATATTTGGTTATTTTTTTCTGAACTGTACTTTTTAATATTGTATAAAGAACATAGATATATTCTGAAATAAACTAAATGTACGTAAATACTAGGTGATGTAAACAATTCTGGCATCATTAAACTACCAAATTCTATTTTTATCACAACACAAATGTATCGATTTCAAAACTGATTTTCATGAAAATACTTAACACGTAATTTTCGTCTTGCCTCCTATCTAAACTGATCGAGAATACAATATAATGAAGCAGTTTATGAAAGTAAAGAACAAAGGTAAAATCACATGATATATCTAAATATTTTTCTAACATTAAACAAATGTAACAGTTGATTAGGGCCAATAATAATAACAACAACAACAAAGAATTTGTCATTCTATACATCATGTGGTATGCACTTCTTATGAGGACAGATATAAGTAGTATGTGGAAGGAATTGGAAGTAGAATGCTTACTAGTGGAAGAGTGAAATAAAAAAGGGAATAGCATTTAATATGTTACATATAACCTAGGTTGAATTATTATCATGTCTTCATTTGATCATCATGCTATCAACTTGGGAATCATTTAGTAGGAGTTGATTATTCATAAAATAACCTAAATGGGTATAACTGACAACTTATGTTATTGACCGGTTATTAATATGTTCTAGAACAATCAATTAATATGTCATTTATTCATTTTTAAAGATTTTTATACGGCTTTATATTCTCCCTTTGTGTTTTATATTTTTTTAGACAACATACTTCATTTCTTTATATTATCATCACTACTGAAAGTTTTTGAGCTAAGCACTAGACAAGTAAAAGTTTTAGTGATAAGTCAAAGTCATACTACATTGTTTTATGTACAGATTTATATGGTCCAGACTGCGATTAGTTACCACAAAATCAAAAGTCTGTTCGGAAACTAACATTTTAAAAATACAAAAATTATTTTTTTTAATTCACACAGTGAATGGAGAGTACTTCATTCTTCATAGGAAGAGAAATATGTTTGTCCAAATATTAACTCAGACTATTATTATTGTCATTATTATTCTTATTAAAAATTTAAAAAAGTAAAAGTCTGTCTTTAACCACCAGAATAGATCAAACATTAATAGATAGTTGGGATTGGTTGACAAGAAAAGCTGCCCGATTTAGGTTACGTGCTATTCGGCACTCGTCAGCGAGGCGTACCTGCATTCTTGAGGGGATCGATGCTACCTGGTAGATTCACATCTTCGTACCACTAAATTTCACAGCCTGAAACATTATCACAACTAATTGGCCAGAAACTAACATGGTGCAGAAATGAGATACATACGGCCGATTGATCACTGGGTAGTGACCAATATCATTTTTTATCTAACCTTTTACTATTGGCTAGATCTTATCCACAAAGTATTAATGTGATGACTGGACCAAGTGACTCTACATAGTGTTCATTATTTTTGATGTTAGGTGGTTGGAGGTAATCGGCCACATTGAAGTTTGATGGGGGGAATTAGATCAGCATAATATATATTCTTAAATAATTGAAATAAAGTTTTTACGGGGAGAATGAACAATTTATTTTAGTTTCATGTCCCAGATTACATAACTCTGCCTGTAGCTCTTCTAGGGTTACTGCCGGTTTCAAACCTGGGTAAAAGGGGAGGGGAGGGTATGGGGTCAGCAACCCAATCACGTAGGAAACAACCTTGCGAAAAAACGCTCAGACTACATACTGATTGTTTTTCAGCAATCATCTATATACAAGTTGATTTCAGTTAATTTCAATTAATTCCATCCAAATATGCGGTCCAGTTTCATGATAAAAATCATTACAACTGAACAGAATAACTCACCAACACTGTAGAAGAATATATAATTGCTACATGAAGAGTAAACATGAACTAGTCAACTTGGCGATGTGATAATTCCTGAGACAAGCAAATGTAAAATAATAATAAGAAGAATAATAATAGGGATAGAGAAATTAATTGTTCTTTAAAATGTAGATTATTTAATTTTAATAAAATTAGTTAATTAACTTCGAACCTTATTTCATAAATTTAACTGAATGAATATGGAAAAACCGTTCAATTCGATTAAAATTAAATTTGGAAAAAAATCAGTTTCAAGAGAGAAAAAAAAGAAGGGAATCTGGTTAATTAGTTTAAGCGAAGTGAAGTGATTTTTAAACAAAAATGGATAGTGGCTAGCAGTGGAATCTAGGACGCGCGTTTCGTCCGATTTGGGACTCGTCAGCTGGACGTACCTGCATCGCAGAGTTGATCCTCACTTAGGCACTCGGACCCAGTGTTGTTTGCTTCAAACGCTATCGCGATATCGAATTAGCTATTGAGTCCTGATAGCCACCTGCTTGTGCAATGGGGTGACGTTTAAATTCACTTGGCGTTGTTTTACTTGTATCTTCCGATTGTTATTTATGACTGCAATTGAGACTAATCAATTGCAGTACTAAATAATAATGGGAAGATACAAGTAAAACAACACCAAAGTGAATTGACATTGAAAAATGATTAAATTTTTATGTTTTTTTTACTTTTTATTATCAACTCCAAATGGTGATTTTTTAGAAATACACTGCTAATCATCATTTACTGTTAAGGTAAACAGATAGAGTGCTAAACTGAATAACATCAGAAGTTAAATTATTAACGTCAACAGACAATATGAGTGATTTTAAAATGTTAAATTTGTACCTTTTTTAGCTAAAAACGAACTCCTCAATTGAAATACCAGGAACAAAGTATTCAGATATTCATACTGTTCAACTTACTACTAACGATCTCAAGTGAGTATTTATCAATTAATATAAAATTTAGCTGACGGGGTTTTATGTAGATTGATTTAACTTGTAGGTCGTGCCATTGAAAACCAGGGAGCACTAAACAGTTGTTTCTTACTTATATGAGATTTTAGTGAACATCAATTCTAGGATGCAGGTACATCTAGCCAAAGATGCGTTCCAAATGAGATGAAACTCCCGTCCTGGATTCCACTGTTAGCCAACATCTATTTCTTATAATAATTTTTTATACTATAAATTGAGTTATTACTTAATATATGTCTGTTAAGTAAAGATGCTACTCGGATTCATGTGTTAGTGACAGTTGATCATGACAGTTACCATTTATTTTAACCTAAAGAGAGTACAATGCAATTCTAACACTAAGTGCATAACTAACTCCCTTCACTGAAGGATAACTGTCTTATATACTTAGTAACTGATATCATTAATTTCTATACTGTTAAGCTCAAATACACATAATAATAAATTTACGTTAGTTATGATTCAAATGTTGTTACTATCAGAGTATCCACTTACTAAATGAACTTTCTTGTACTTAAAATATAAAATTGATTTATGAAACTGAATTGAATTTATTGCAAATAAGGTGTGTTATTTCCATAAAAACTTATTAATATATGACTGATTACTACTTAAAGTACATTTGTAAGACAGAAAACCTTTTTTTTAAAGTCAAGATTAATAATAAGTACAAAGTAAGATCACAAAACGATTATTGAAATAGATGAACGATGTATTTCATTTAAAATATACATTCACTGAGATAACTTTGAAGAAGATATTGCTTAATGACTTTATATAGATTAATTCCTAACTAAATAAATGATGGTTAATATACTCAGTATTTCTGGTTATTTTCTTCAACTATTCATTGAGTGAATGTTATTGACTGAAGTGTAATTTACACTAACAATTTCATTTCAAGCCTCTGAATGTATACAAAACTATGTACAATGAACATGTCAGTGTAGCGCAGCGTAACATCATGTATGTAAAGCATAAATATAGTTAAAGTTAGGGTTTGAAATGAAACATTAAAAATGAAAACTATACTCTTATATGTAGCAGCTTATCATTAAATAACAGGGGAAATGGTCGAAAGTCCTGAATACAACACAGTTATTGAACAATGAAAATGTTGAGGTTAACCTCAATCATAATAAATGGATCACTTTTTTCTAGTAGTCACAAACTGAACTTTGAAAATCCAGTCGCCTAAATATCACATGTCATACATTAGATACTAAATAGTAAAAAAGGTTAAGATTATCCATTATGAATAAGTTCCAAACTAATGGTGACACATATACATATTGATGTTTGTCACTGCACTAACTTTTTTCAAATGATACCAGAGCGTTACCAGATAAATAATTAATAAACCCATAATAGTTACATAACCTAAAACATTGATTTTTATTCTTCTGTTAATGATACGTCTAAAAAGCAACATTTTCTAAAACAAAGTTTCAGTATAAACAGTAAAATACAAAACAAGAAAATTAAACTTACCGAATAGAATCTTTATCAATAGCTGGTGATAAATGCTCAAAAACAACTTCTGTAATATCCGATGCATTGAAACGTGGTCTAATACGTCTACATATAAGTGCACGATCCAAAAATACTGTAAGTTGTGACATTTGACATTCAAACATATTATATACTTGTCGAGATCTATCCAAACCACCACCAACTAAAGCTCCACTTTTTCCAGGGCCACCGCCAGCATTTCCACTGCTGTTAGCACCAACACCTCCATTTGTTCCTCCATCAATAGGATTTTGACCAGTTTTAGGATAAATAGTAGAACCTTTCTGTTGACCTGCTATTGTTCCAGATCCAACTGGAGGACCACTAACATTTCCGCCTGTAGGGACTACCACAGAATTATTGGATGCTATATTTCTAGCGAAGTGATGTGTGCCACCTGTTGTTATTGTATTTGTTTGATTATGTGATGAATATTGATCACTTAATACATCGCCAGTTTGTGGATTTAAAATTAACATTTCTTGTTGTTTAATCAAACCAGCCTGATGATGCATAATATATTGTTCAGGTCGTAGTGGTTGAAGGGAACCAATCACGCTATTTCGTTAATTTAAAAAAAAAATAATAATTAAAGTCCCTATAGTTATCTGCTAAACAATGGTACAAAAATTTTAATAGCCTTTTTATGAGTAAGGAACGTGTGTATTCTTGAAATTCCAGGTTAAACTAAAAAACGGATTCAAATGAATTGTAGAAAAGTCATTCGCGAAACATCTTGATCTAGTCGCAAGCACAACAGCAATAACGATCCATTTTAAATATGGAATCGACGTTAAGTAATAACAGAATGTGAAATTAAGAACATTTAAAAACGAGACACACGAAAAAGTCATGTGACAGACTTAATTTATAACCAATAGTAACAAATTGTGTGGCACACTATAAATCAGTAGGCGTGTAAACTACACACATATGAATCTACACAACCACTGTATTATGTTTTATTTGGCTACTGCTGACCAAATTAAGGTAAAAGTCTTCATTTACATGTCACAAATACTACTTAATAACAAATGCAACAATAAAATACAATAATGAGTCTGATGTATGAGACTTTCAATAGTGGTTGCAAAAGACTATGAATGACATTATCTATATTTGATAGTAGTAGCAGTAATGAAATATGTATTGTTACAGCGTCTTTCAAAGCTCCACATTATGCTGAAGTCGTCAATCATCATTTTTAAGACCGGTTGCCGTCTCACAATTTTCAATCTTTTTACTGTTAGGATTTAAGTAATTTAGTTCAAACAGTTATAGACATGAAAATAAGCAAAGACCACAAAATAATGTTTGATTCCTGTAACACGTTTTTACGTATTGATAAGTCATAAATCACTATTGTACACATGGTTAGTCTGCCCATCTTAGGCTACTTTATTCTTCATTTCACATTGATTGAAACTCGAATTCATCTCTCCGTTTCAGAGAGAAATCTTATTACTTCGTATTTGAACTGTTCCTGTTTTCATCATGAATTGATGTTGTACAAACAAACATTTAAAATTGGAAACAATCAGTACGTTTAATCTTAATTTTGTTCAAATACTTTGGGACGCTGGAATCTATGGCGAATTTGTAATATGACCATTGGATCAGGTTCCACTAGATGAAACTTTAAACTAAAGTTGTTTTGTAAGAAAGAGCTAAGTGTTTATTCTGAAGGCCATAATTTACAGACTTAATTTCAATGATCAAGAATTATAAGGTTGTTCCGTCGTAAAAAAAATTACCGAACAGGATTAAACGGTTATTTGATAAACCTTAATGCTTTTTAGCAATTTTAAGCAGATCCAGAAATATACTAGAAATCAACGATACAGTTTTACTTTGGTTTTAAACTTTTATCTTAATACTTCAACAACTATTATCAATTATTCCCCCTCTCATTGTTTTCTTCAACTATCCTTTCTTATCAGCATATCACAGGTATCTAATTCATTTCCATTTTCTTTACCTCTGTTAAATTGTAATTGGAAGTAATTTACACATAGAGGAATGTACATATCAAAAATAATTTAAAAACTGGTAGGAAATAAAAGAAGATTGATTGACTGTTTCGCTTTCGTTCCGGAATTTTCAGAAATATGCTTTCTAATTTTGTATTAAATAAACAACCTTTCAATAATTCAATCCAGATTTTTAATTACCGCCAACTAGTTATTTCTCGTGATCTTCATTGAAATCAGAAGGAAATAGCTGTACATATTTCAATGATTTCAGCTACTATCTACTAGTTATAATGGGAAGAAATTAACTTTCCATAAACCTGCCTTAAATAAAGAATAATGATAAACATAAGGCTGTCGATGGAAAACTAAACTGAATTTCTATTAGTTCTACCAGAAAGTCATGCATGTATGGTTATGAGTTAAGCAGCAACTCTAACTGATATCAGTGAATAAAGATCATGTTGTACTATGAAACAGATCAACACATATAAGCAAACTATATTGTTTTCAGCTAGATCTTCATCAGGCTTTAATTATGTAGCAATATTTATAAGAGTATATGAAAAATATTAAAACTACATCAATCTGTGTGAATGATAACAATAAAAAAGTATTACGTAACCAGTTCTGACAGGTAAAAGTACAAATTGATATTGAAATAATAGGTGTATTGGTAGTGATAAGAATAACAAACAGTATGATAACCGTAACAAGTATATTGACACGAGAAGTAGGCCAAAACTTGAAAGAATAAACTCATCAAACTAGTCATATGAAGCTCAGTAATGGGGGATGTTTGGATAGTCATTTAAAATATGTAGATAGTAAAGAAAACAAGAGAAACAATTAGTGAACAGAAAGAATTAATAACACCATCTATTAAGTCTTCTCTGGCCAAGTGAGGAACAGAAAAATAGCTTAAATGGCTTAAATCCGTGTGACTTCCGCTCTATGTGCGGGATGATGAAAAAACCCAAGCGGAAACATCTGAAAACATTTGATAAATCACTATAAGTGTTCACGATCGACTGATCACTGAGCGATGATCAATGTCATGTGTGTCAGATCCTTCTTAGCATAGATCGAGTGCTATCGACCAAGTTGTAATGTGGCCACTAGTCTATGTGACTTCTCATTGCGTGCACTAGGTTTCCTGTTGACTACCTCCAACCACCATCTTATCTTACTATAAGTGTTTTGGTTCTACCTTCTACATAACTGCCATTAAGTAAGTGTAATGGAGTTAATCCTATTTGAAGATATATAGCATTGGACTATCCCCCAGCGGGCCGATCAGGCGTCAGACAAATGATCAGTTTACTCAACCGCCCAACATGCAGCCTATTTCCTAAGGAATGAAACACTACATTTATGGAAAAATATGGCTTAAGCTTTTATCGGATTATATATATGTACAAAGCGCAGTCGAGAGTCTCATTCAGTGCTCTCCGAAACAATAGTTGCTTCATATGTTGATATCTATGATTAAATTATCTGAATGAACATGTAACCATGTAATATATGCACATAAATAACGACCTTGTATTTCCGATTCTTGAGTTATTATTAATCAATCTAATTCTTGGACTTATCATTCTCTTGATGAACTAATATACAGATAGAGTAAACCGTCATCATCACATGAGATTGGTGATGTCGTTATCGTCAGTTTATATTCAAATAAACAAACATGTTTTCACTCTTCTTTAACGTGGTTATTTGGAATTACGCAGAAAAACAGATGTGATGAGATTTGCAAATCTGTGTGCATTCAACGAGTTGGTCATAGGAGGCACAATATTTCCACACAAACGTATACACAAAGCTACATGGATCTCACCGGACCACACTACAGAGAGCCAGATAGATCATATTTGTATCAATAAAAAATTCCGAAGGATAATGGAAAATGTGAGAAGCAGGAGAGGAGCTGACATAGCTTCAGATCACCACCTAGTTGTGACCAATTTAGAACTGGACAAACAGCACTACAAAGGTTCAATACAGCCTTCCTTCAAGATACTAACAAAATCAACGACTTCAAGATAGCTCTCAATAACAGGTTCCAAGCCTTACAAGATCTACTGAAGGAAGAAGAAACTACTATGGAGGACAACTGGAAAGGTATCAAAGAAGCATTAAATTCAACGTGTCAAGAGGTTCTGGGTTTAAAGAAGCACCATCATAAGGAATGGTTCTCTATGGAAAGACTAGACAAGATCAAAGAAAGGAAGAACAAGAAGACAGCAATTAACAACAGCCGAACATAAGCAGAGAAAGTCCAAGCACAAGCTGAATACATAGAAATAAACAAGCAAGTAAAGAAGAGCATAAGAGCCGACAAGAAGAAGTACGTGGAAGAACTAGCAACGACGGCGGAAAGAGCTGCAAGAGAAGGAAATGTGAAACAGCTTTACGATACAACCAAGAAACTAGCAGGGAAGTACAGTAAACCAGAGAGACCGGTCAAAGATAAAGAAGGCAAGCCAATCACTGAAATTCAACAACAGCGGAACAGATGGGTAGAATACTTCGAGGAACTCCTGAATAGGCCGGCTCCAATGAATCCACCGGACATCGAAGCGGCACACACAGATCTTCCTATAGATGTCAACCCGCCAACGACGGATGAAATCAGAATGGACAGCCAGTGTAGCAGCAGTCTCTGCATCAGTAGGCCTCAACATACACAAGAAGAAAACCAAGGTCCTCAAATTCAGAACGAAGAACAGCAATCCAATCACTCTTGATGGCGAAACTCTGGAAAATGTAGAATCCTTCACATACCTGGGAAGCATCATCGATGAACAAGGAGGTTCAAATGCAGACGTAAAGTCGAGGATTGGCAAAGCAAGGACAGCATTCCTACAGTTGAAGAACATATGGAACTCAAAACAACTTTCAACGAATATCAACGTGAGAATCTTCAATACGAACGTCCTGACAGTTCTACTGTACGGAGCTGAAACTTGGAGAACTACAACAACCACCATCAAGAAGGTACAAGTATTTATAAATAGCTGTCTACGCAAGATACTCAACATCCATTGGCCGGATACCATCAGCAACAGCCTTTTATGGGAGAGAACAAACCAGCTTCCAGCTGAAGAAGAAATTAGGAAAAGACGATGGAAATGGATAGGACATACATTACGCAAATCATCAAACTGCATCACGAGACAAGCCCTAACTTGGAATCCTGAAGGGAAGCGAAAAAGAGGAAGACCAAAGATTACATTACGTCGGGAAATAGAAGTAGATATGAAAAGGATGAATAACAACTGGAAAGAGCTGGAAAGGATTGCCTAGGACAGGGTTGGATGGAGAATGCTGGTGAGCGGCCTATGCTCCTTCACGAGGAGTAACAGACGTAAGTAAGTAAGTCTCAGATCCCTCATTGAAACTTTAACCACTAGGTAACTAAGTTGGTATACAACGGCAGATATTTCCATTTTCAAACAATTCGTAATATGGAACTGCAGTTGATAACTGTTCAACTCTCAAAATACCTGAACTCTAGTGGCCACCACTTCTGACCATAAGTTCAGTGAATTATTTTCATGTAATTTACTTATGAGATAATGGTCGTGGTTTCGATGTACAATTATTGTGGAGACATGTTTAATTTGAAGGTGGTTCTCAATGTGGTATGACTTAAGTTAGATACTATCGAAAATCAAGAAGTACTGAACAGTTGTTCTACCTAGTATGAGACACGAGGTTAAGTAATGGCCACGAAATTTTAAGACCCTGAACTCAAGCCTTGTCAGAGAGTCACATACTAAGATGAAACAACTGTCAACTTTGCAATTACTAAACGCACCAACTAAGAAACATCTAGAGAATTTGTTCAACCTGAGATTTAAATTAAATATTTATAAATTGTTATGTACAGCAAGAATGAATATGTAGTTTCTATAAATTTCGCGTAATGTAAACCATTTATACAGCTCATATGAAGTTCAAAAATTAATTAGAGTGGGTTTTTTTTATTCATTTATCCCACTTTTAAAGATGCTTTAATCAAACCAAGAGAATCTCTTTCCGGGTGAAAACGTCCAAACTAACCACTCAGCAAACAATAACTTTCAAATGATGTCAGTCAGCCAAATCATAGTAACATTAAGCTGATCATTCAAACAAAATAACCAATCCTGAGACAGTAAATGTATTCTAAGTAATCAATTTTCACCACATATATAGAAAATAATTGTCAAAAAACATTGTCCGATCGAAATTAATTCATATTGGCGCGTAAAATATCAACTAAGCTGAAGTTGAGCTAAATCATTAGTTTTAAGTAACCACAAAAAAATGTGATTGTCCCAGTCTATTAAGAAGCTTCATTGTAGATATTAGTCTGAAAATTTTCCAGTAAAAATACCAACTTACAGAGAAGGATAATGTGATGTAATGAATAAAATATAAACCAACTTTATAATTGTCAATTACTGAGTACTAATGTTTTAACATTTGCTTTATACTTGTAAATCCCAACAGAATGAGTTTATCATTTGACATCAACCGATCAACTTCGTTTAGTATTGTGATAAATAGGCGCCTGTAATAGATGTAGTCATTCTACTTATAAATTATATAAGCAACTCAACCCGGTAGCTCCGTGATGATGAGTCTTTGCAAAGACGAAGCTTCAATGTGAAGAAAAACTTAATAACTAAATTGTAAACAGTGTGTAAATTTCTCAGCCTAAACGTCAATGAAATGAGTGAGAAAAGTAGCCTAAGATGTTTCTCTTTCGTATGCTACTACACAATGAAAACAATCTTATAGTAGCCAACTTAACAAAAGTAAAGTATATGGACAAACCAATCAGATTTTAGTCAGCGTCTCCTGAGTTTCGGAGCAAAATTCATCCATTCATATGATTACAAAAGATGTCAGTTCAGGATAAAACCGGAATAATTCACGTATGAAGGTTTATCATTCATGTCAAATCTGCTTATCGATTATGATAATTTTGTCACTTTTTACTAAGAATCATTTTATAATCAAATATTCTTTTCTGATTGCTTTATAGATCACACAAAATCATCCATATACTGTAATTCTATCGCTAACTTGATCGTGAAAACAACCTTGTGAAAAGAATAATTCATTTAGGAATAATTAAAAACGAGACGACACTATGACTCACTTCTTTTTCTCTAAATCTTCTTTGATTTGATTAAAAGATAATTTTTGTTGATTTTCAACATTTTGAATATTTAGACATTCCATATTTTGTTCAGTAACCAGTTCATTTTTGCAATGTTCATTTTTCAAAATGTCTTGATCCAATTCTTGTTCTGAATGCGATGGACACGTAGAATCGTGATAACTTTCTTCTGTTTTCATATTAGTATACTCTGATCGATCATCGTTCATTGGAATATCTTCATTACTATTATTATTTCCACTAATATTTTCTTTTATATCACCTGGTAAATATTCATCTTCTCCACCATTTAATCTGTTTTGATATTCACCATGATTCAGATGATTTAAATGTCCAAAAGAACTTTGAGCTGGCGTATTGCCAATGTCATACGATGGATATGAAATGTATGATTCCCGATTGATTTCCGATTGATCAGCTGTAATATCAGATACACCAACTGTAGTACTCATTGATGTATCACAATTTAAAGTGTTCAGTGTTAATTGTTTTAAATTATCGTTGTCACTAGTATTTGTAGTATTATTCACAGATTCACTTAGAGAATCAATTGATAAAGTATGTTTCGATGGAACAACTTCACTAGATGCAAATGAATTTCGATGATTAGTATCTGTCAAGTGATTTGGTGAATCGGTTAGTACTGATGATGTTACAGACTTTACGAACAAAGCGCTAGAATGTGTTTCGTCTAGTAGTTCAGCGCCAATTGTAGAACTACTATTTCTACTGTGCTCGTCTTCTACTACTACTACTTCTTCTTCTGGACAAAATTCAGTAGACGTTAAGGAATTCGAAATTTCAACAGATGATTTATTGCTGTATGGTAGAAAAGTCTGAGGGTTTTCTGATTTACCAGGAACGTTTGTTACTTTCTCGATGTAAACCGGATTAGTTATTTCTTCGTCAAGATCAGACGATTTATTAACTTGTTTCTCACTGGTAGATAATGTAGAAAATTCTTTCTCTACGTGAGATGATTCGGTTGCTTCGTTTTCAGGATTCAATAAACTGATTGATTCTTCTTGGAAGTCAAGCAATTCTGTTGATTTGTCTTCAATGTTTGTTTTGCCTTTCAGTTCGCATATACTAGTGAGGTCGTTCTGTTCATCAACTCGAACCTCTATATCAATATTTTTTTCTAAGTATTCAACGGATTGACTATTCAATTGTTCTCCAGTAGGCTCTTGTAGTGAATTTTCAGCGTCTTCTTCTGTAAAGTTCTTTGTAGATGGAATGGAATCTGAAGAAAAATTAATTGGTTCAACTAAGTAATTATCACTTATTTTATCTAGAGTTTCACCTACAATTTGTCCAATTTCAGTATCTGTACAATATTCAGATATCGCTTCTGGTTGGTGGTTTGACAATAATTCAGATTTGATACAATTTTCTGGAATTACCGAAGGTGTCAAAGGAAATGCTGGTAATTCTCCAGTATTCTCTTTATGTAACTCTTCATAAACTGAAATCGGAGGTGATGGAAGGTCGTTGTCGAATACTAAGGCTCCTTCGTCAACAGCTATATTCAATTGTTGATTACAAGTAACTTGATCCAACTCAAATTCTAGTTCTTTCGAAGAGCGATCAGTGTGATCTTCCTCAAGGATTTCACCTGACCTTGCTAACACGATATCACTTTTGTCACAATCTTGACTGGTAATTATTTGTTCTACTTCTTCAGTAGCCAAGGGTGGGGGTTGATCACCTAATTTATATATCACTTTCTTATGGTCAACTGACCCGTTTTCTGTTTGCTGAACAGTTGTGACCTCCACGATTGTAAATCAAACGAATGATTGTTTATTTAATAAGTATGGGGAATTTCGAAATATATTTGATGGCAAAAAGACGATCACAAAACGATTCCCAGTGTATATGATTTAATGATATTAGAGTTCAGTAGTGAAGCGATCACAAAGTAAAGATATCGCCTAATGTCATATAATCTTTAAAAGTAAGAAAAAGAAGAAATAAACGTCATGGTGAATTACACAAAGATAATCTGATTCAATATGGAGAATAGTTTTATATTGATTCCCTCACTAACGATAAAGAGGTGGATTAGCAGATTTTAACGACATAACTACAGATTCAGAAGATTTACCTATGTTTTTATGCAGGGAGCCGGATGATATTTTAAAAAATTTGCAATTAGTTATTATTGCATGCCTGAAAATCCAGTTAAACAGATCTAACTAACTCTAAAAAAATGGATTAACTACTCCTGGAACCCTTTTGAAAATACTATCGGTCCCAATCCTGAGTAGAACAAGACAGTTGGATGTAGAAAAAGCCTTTCCATAAAATTGCAAACCAGAGAAGACTAGTCAAACATCATTCTGGGAATCGCAGGGTCTTCATATAGAAGAGTTATGGTTCACACTAGTGAAAGTTGAGAAATTTTGGAAATCACAAGGCCGATACTTCTGGTAACCAGAGCAGCAACAAACATAGGGACATGGAATGTCCGGAAAATTTGGGAGACAGATGGGATCATTCGAATAGCAGTGAAAATGAGAAGATACAACATAGTCATACTCGGAATAGGTAGAATCCAGTAACGAATAAGGAAGCTAAATCGGCCGTTGAGGTCCAAGAATGGAAGAATAGGTGGGTAGAACACTTTGAAGAGCTCCTGAATACATCACACCCACCGAGTATCGAGGCAAAATATACAAACCTTCCTACCACACCGATAATAGGAAAAACCATCAAGGTCATTAGACAAATCAATGATGGCAAAGCAACAGGACCAAACACCACAACACACGAAACAATAAAGTCAGATACAGAGGCAATCAAAAAGATGTTACACAATCTAGTCAGAAAGACTTCAGAGGAATAACAGGTACCAACAAGCTGGGAAGAAGGATGTTTTATCAAGATAACAAAGAAGGGAGATCTTAGTAAATGTGAGAACAACAAGTACAAAATACAACTGTCAGAACCTGGAAAACGTTTCAACGCAGTATCATTCAACTGAACCAAAGATTCAGAAGACTGCTAACTTTGCGATTAACGGGCTGGATTTCGTAAGGATCGATCATGGAATGAGTAGATCGAGACACCTCAGATCATTTTTGCACAATTAATCGAATGGAATTCACCACTGTAAATCAACTTCCTTAGTTATGCGGAAGTATTAGACAGCGTGGATAAGGAAACTACGTGGAATCTTCCGTGATACCATGGAGTGCCTGAGAAGAGTGACACCACCATATGGAACTCTTCTAAGGAACTGGGTCTCAAATTTGTTCATGGAGGCCAGTTCACAGATGTGTTCTATGTGATGACTGGTGTCAGACAAAGATGTCTTCTCTCTTTTTCCTGACTGCTGAGTAGATTATGAAGACCTCCGAATCTCAGGAGAAACACGGAATATAGTGGACACCGTAAACGCAGATGGGTAATTTAGACTTCGCCGATGACTCAACTTTTACATCGCACAAACAGGCAGCCAGTGTAAAAGTGGCTTCCTCCTGAAATGTCTTAACATTCACATGAGGAAAAATTAAGATCCTGAAATACAACATAATGAGCATTAACCAAACCACACGTGATTATGAAACTCTGGAAGCTTCTGCATATCTGGGTGGCATGATCAATAGACAAGGCGAATTCAGTGAATATTTCAAGAAACTAATTGGCAAAACATGAGCATCATTCCTACGAGTGAAGAATATTTTATACTCGAAACGACTGTCATCCACGACCCAAGTCAAAATCCCGACATAAATATTAAAACAGATCTGTCGTCCGAAGTTGAAACTTGGAAAACTATTTATAAGCAGATACCTTTACTAGATATTCCAAATCCACTGACAAGAGATCGTCAGCAGCAACCTAATGTGGCAGAGAAGAAACCAGCTGCCGATCATTTCAGCCATATTCTAAGTGCATCTTTTTTGTGACATCAATCATGAGAAAGGGACATTTTATTTCATAACTTCCAAAAAAGGATTATTTCACTAAACTAGTAATATTGAAAATCTATTTTATGTTCAGTGGAGGGGATATTGTATAATAGTAAAGGAGAACACAATTTTTTTATATTATTGAATTAAATGTTTACTATTCTATCTTGTAATCAAAATAATAGTAGTCATATACTTTGGGTGTGGTAATTACACATTGATCTGTTGTTTAAGTTCTATCAGTACCTAATGACCTTTAGTCATTATTATACTTATCTATGTTTTGACAAAGAATTTCTTTTTATGTGGTATAATCTATAACTGCAACTTGCCTGTTGGGTTTACGTTAAAATTTGTTTAATATCATTAGTCATTTCTTTCAATTTCCTCCAACAACCACCGAGAAATGAAGAAAAAACACCACTACTTTAAACCTCTTTCAAGGACAACATGAACTATAGCTCGTTATAGTTATCGCTTTTGATGAACACCCTATGCACGTGTTGATATGATACGATCAACAATTAAATTCCACATCCAGAGACATCTGTTCATTAGATATTTAATGAACCCTGATTACGATCTAAACACAGGGGATTTTGCAGAGATTGGTTTAATTTATATGTTGTACTGGTTACAGATTGATTTCAGTTGGTATGCTATTAAAAACCAGGAAATATTGGGTAGCTGTTTCCGTTTAATATATAACTTCTCGGCAGTACTTGCACATGACCCTACTAAGGGTCGAATCCAGAACCAGTTGGTCCCGCAGTAAACTATTAACAACTAAGGCCACTGGGTCGATGTTCAATGATACCATTCCAATTTCAATCGGTTTGCGATACACTGAGACGACATCCAATACCATTGACAGAAACTGCTCTACTCTCGTGTGATAAGGCAGTTCTTAATGGAGCGGTTGAGGTATCTAATGCGACTAGTGATCAATTCGCCGAGATCGCCTACATAGGACCGATGCCCTTTCTTAGACCTATGACTCCAATGACAGAGAAATAACGACTGATATCAGTGATTAACACCTATTTGTCCGGGGCTGAGTTTCTCTTGCTTATATGATAGCCAGAACAACAATACAGCGGGCAAATAAAATTCTATTGTACAGATTAGTTCACTAAACAGACTTGTGTGATAATGTAAATTAACTTTTGACCACGAACGAACATAAATAAGAAATTACAATATAATCGTAATTACACCGTAAGTTTAAATAAAACCAGAACAAACATGAATGTAGTATCATATGAATTCATCATATTTTGTGGCTTCTCATCAGCTGCTTACAACCAGTTATGTAATGAAAGTTTACATTGAGGCAAGATATAGTGTAAAACAATTAACATAGATTAATGAAAAGAATTGGGATGACAAAGGTTATCAATAATATATATGCAGGAACAGGTCGAAGGTCATTTGGTGTTGGGATTCAAAAAACAGAAGGGGTGGGTGATGCGTTAATTAAGTAAGGTTCAGAGACAAATAAGATAGATTGTGTGATAATTTGAGGTACATACATTTAATGTAATATATTTCAGAACACCGGTTGAAAATTTTAAGCAAATAAACAAGTGTAGCTCAACATGATATTAATTAAATGATAACTGACTACTGAATTAATTAAAAGTAGCCTCATCAGCTTACGACGAAAATGATAAGGTCTGTGATATCAACTTACCGGTGTAGTTTCAACATATCATAGAGGTTAAAAACACTTTTAGCAACTAATTAGTTTCACACATAACAAAAGAGAATTAAAATTAATCCAGAATAATAGTTCCTTAATAGTAAAATTAGATATTTGTATTGTTCGAAAATGGTAGAAATATCAGCAACTTTGATAGTATGTATATACATTGAATGGATAGTCTTTTAAATTATTGAGTAACATAGGTTCTATCAGTTTCCTACCTTTTTCCACGGCACTTCCTATTCAGGAAATCTTGTTTCATAGCCTACATATACGTTTCCTTTAAATTGTTTTCAAATTACATAGTATCATAGATTCTCCTGCTAGTATGAACTAGATTACAGTAAATCTCTTCGAAAGAATTAACAAAATTACATACATATTCTCTTATATTTTAATGCTTATCGGAATCCATGATATTAAACTGATATTTATTTCTCCGTGAAAATACTATCTGTATGACTGATGTCATTTTATAGACTAATGCAATCGTCAACAACGAAGATTTTATCTTGTATCTCAATGTATCTTACGTGGAATAATGTTAAGTCTAGAATACTATATAATTTATTATCAAATATTTAAGATACTTTAAGTTAATTGAAGAGATTTGCAGCAAATGAATTTCCCTGTGTCTTTGAAGAAGCACTGAAAAACTGTTTCGTTCTAGTACGTGACTCCTCAGTAGTGAGCAGCCACAACCCCATTCGGGGTTGAAATCAGGAAGTTCGATCCTCGTATTGAGATTTTATTATTATTATTATTATTATTATTATTATTATTATTATTATTATTACTAATAGTGGCTTTATTCAATATTATGTTTTGGCACAATATAGAATTCTCAGCTCAAGGTATTTAATCTTCAGACTGCTAAGCTGATATTCAACGGTTTACATGTATAACCTCACTAGATTCAAGATATAGCAGGATCATTATCCATTTTCATTGATAATATTTATTTTAAATCCAACATGATTAAATTACATCGGTCACGATTTTACATTGAGAATCAGGAATTAAGTTCCAGAAGTTCTTCTCTAATGAGTAAACGATGAGTTTTTAACATAAAGGGTTGTTGAAATTGCTGAGCTCCTTTTAACACCATAAACCAACTTCAGTCAAACCTAAATCAATCCGTGACATGGAGCTTTAAATTCCTGAATCTCAACAACACCTTATAATTTTAAAAAATTCTAAAATAACTAATGAAACATTTATAATCAGACGAGTACTAAACAAGTAGCTTAAGACTTTATAATCAGTGTAGTGTACAACCTATAACCTTATCTGAGTGATCGAATCCACAAGTATTAAAGTCTCATAA